AATGTTAGACTTAAATTATCTATTTTATAAAATTTTTAACACCGAGATCAGAACGTTTAGTCAACCCTAGGTATGTAGCGTAACATTGTCTAAAATACGATATGAAGGTTTTACTAATACACTATCCCGTATTGGGTAACAGCCAATGGAATCATCGTGTTAAATATAACGAGCTTTCTAGACAATCTCGAATTCAGTTTTTTACAGCTATGTTTGATTCTTCTGTGAGCATTGATTGAAGTGAAAACTGAATCCAATCCAGTTTGTAAACTAGTGATGTAGATATAATGAATCTTTACAACAAATTTATTCGTCAATCAGTTCAATGTTCAAAATAATAAGAATTCTAAAGTAAGTTAAACGAAATACGTAAAAGAAATAAAACGAGCGAATCGCTATCAGTCGAACAAAAAAAAACAAAAGAGTGCCAGTATGTAAAAAGAAAAAGAAAATTCGATTCGGAATGCAGAAACAAATAAGATATACCGACTGTCTGTGGATCGATTAGCTTGGAAAACAGTTATAGTCTGCTAAAGATATTTCACATAGTCCACATTCTATTAGTAAAATGAGACTAAAGAATATGTGAGTTACACATTTCAGTCCCAAAGGAGCTGTGCTAACAAGCTTTTTTTAATTATATCTGCTCTTTATTATTATGAACAATAAGATAAATTAACATGCTCAATCTTAATACGAGATTCCATAGTAAGTATTGATTTATCAAATTAAATCTTTTTTTTTAATTTAGATTTATGCGAAAAATAGATGTGATGGTAACAATATATTGGAAAAATTATTTCATTTTTTTTATTTAGTCTTACCAAACCGCAAATCACTATGAAAAAGAAGCGTAGGATTGTAAACCCGTGAAACATTTATGAAACTGCAACACTTAATGAACTTTTTTTTACTGTATGTGATATTTTCATAAGCCTTTCTGAATGGGTTTATGAATGGGTATTTTATTTTCATAGACGTTTATAAGAGCATATGAAAATAAAATACCCTTTCATAAACGCTTAGGAAGGGAATATGAAAGAGTTTATTGTTTACATAAACCCTTATAAGGATTTACAAATTGCAACGTATAAAAACCCTTTAACAGTTTATGAAAGGATTTTTGAAAATTGTCATATACAGTAAAAAGCGTATATTATACGCTGAACTTTCATAAACTCTTTCAAGATTTATGATTTTACTCATTTTTTTAAACGTAGGAACTAACATGGCGAATATTGAAGTGGTTACATATAACAGAAAGACTCCGAATAATGTGAACGTTAGAAATATTGCAATGAGTGTCCCGTGTCCTTTCCATCACGTTCTCATATTGTTTCCTCAGGTGAGTAGCGTGCTTTCAAGTGATACAAAAATAAAATTACTGAATTCTTGTAATTGCTCGTTATGATCGAACGATATATAGGACAATCCTAGAAGTTAAGCCACTTTAAGGATAATACCCGCTCTGAAGATTTCTCGGTCTGTTTGTCTTTTCACACACATTCTCAAATTAATAGGTGAGTCAAAATAAATTAGTCCTTGTTATATCCTTCATATTGTTGGCATCGACGATGGTACATTCCAACGGTGAACGGAGATTAAATTGTTCGTTCTAGTCTAACGGGCTTAGGATATCTGTCTGGATAATGGAAGATCCGTGATTTGAATTCCAAGAAAGACCTATTTTTCTTCATTCTGTCCATTTATATCTATTCATTTACGCTGAAACTCTTTATGATTCACATGTGATGCTCACACATTAGGGGTGATCGATTTACATTTAAAGAATTTATAAAATTCAGAAATAAATTTAAACTTATTTTACATGAAAGTTTAAATTTGTTTTAAATTTAAATTGAATTTACATAAATCTGAATCCAATTTAAATTAAATCTAAATGAGTTTAAATTGACTTAAATTACATTTTAAATGAATTTAAGTGGAATTTAAATTTGTTTGTTGTCTCTAGGGAAAAGAACAACCTTTTACCTGGAAATCGTGCTATCAAACATATGTTTATAAGTCTTTTAACATCATTAGAAGACAACAGGAAAGAAGCACGGCTCTTCTACACAAATGTTTTTATTGTGATGATCGGATTTTAACATATAATATCAGTTTCTTTTCTTATTTCTTATTGCTTATTTTGTTTTTGAAGTCATGGATTTTCACAAGAGAAGCGATCAATTTACATTTAAAAATTTATTAACTCTAGCAATATATTATAAAAGACTTAAATTTATTTCGAATGAACATTTGAATTTAAAATAAATGAGCATGAAAATGTGACCCCTGTTACACATCTCTGTCATTTTTCATTGTTTCGAAAAGGATTTTTTCCAAAAACATTCAGCATTCAATTCTCTATAAAACCCTACACAACTAGTCAACGCAGATATAAAAGGAAAAACTTAGCATTGTAATACTACAATAGTCTATCAGTAATAACTTTCGAGGTGTTTGCATTGATACTAGCTCACGTTCTTTGCTGGTACTCAAGCAGCATGTAAAAGATTCTACGTAGAACATTTATTTTTCAAAAAACTGGTCCTTATCTTGCACGCTTTACCTTACTATTAACAGAAACTATTTCAAGTAGCACTGCTTCAGAATGTGTCTAGCTTTGCATAGTATCGTTTAGTGGCATTTGTACAAATCAAAACCATGCTTCAGAGAAAAATTTTACGATAAGTTGCCCGTATTTTTCCAAAAACTGGAAAAATATGGTGAAAAACAGGGATATTTTCGAAAATTCATGAAAACAGCTATTTATTTAACTCTATAGACTTTTGATCGAAGAGTCCTAATGCACACTCATGTGTTTTTAATTTTTGTTCCTATGGTTTGCCACCATAAGAACCCAAAGAGATATCAAGCAAAAACCTAGGGAGTCATTTATGCTTGGGCACCATTGTTTTCTCTTAGTATGAATGTGCTATGGAACCACAAGAAAATTAAACTGCTTTACTTTTATAATCGTTCATTGTGATCGAAAAATACATAGCAAAATTTCAGAGCTAGAGGTACTTCAACGAAATCATCCCTTTTCCAGATCTGTGTGCTCATTTTCTGTTTTTGAAGAATCTTTTATGATTTTTATCTTCATCCTAGGATTTTGGATAACACAAGCATCAAGTAGCTTCATTATTCCACTTCGTCATTATGACTTGAACATTTTCTAAATAATCCTAATCACAGAGACATTTTAGGAAGAACATGCTTTTTTCAAGACCTACCGGCTCGAATTTTGTTGATATCACAAAAAGAGCCATTACGCAGAATTAAAACTATTCTCTCTGAAGACAATATCCTAAACATATTCTTCGCCAAAACCCAATTGAAGGGAACCCCTTCTACGAAAATTTTCTGAAGCACTTATTTTCTGTCCAACATCATATCTAATTTTCAGCAAGATCAAACCTTTTCGAATGGCAAAAGAATACAATTCTAAAACGTTTTTTTCTACGTTGGAACTCACAAAACGTATTAACAATTCTTACCATAAACGCTTCGTGAGAAATGTGGCTTTACAGTAATAAATATCTCCTATTCATTTTATACAGAACTTCGGAACATTTTTGTCAGCAGGAAAATAATTATTATGATGCGAAAAAAAATACTACACAAGCTTAGTGGTACCACTTAAGGATAGAAAAATTCACTGAATACCGATGATCAAAAGGGCCTTCTGAAGAAAATGCAATTTCAAAAAACTTATGTTTACTTGCTGTATTAGTGTGAAATATTGTGTGTTGACGACAAGTATATCACTGTAATATATCGACGTTGTTGTATGCAAGAGATAAAAGCGTCACGTTGCTTATATATACATTGTTAAATAAGTTTGGCTTGTGCACATTCATCCGTTTACATTAAATGACTCATGATCATATATTATTGAGATTCTCCATTTTTTCACATAAAAATATTACCGATGTTTTGCTTGTTCTATCACTCATCTATCGAACAGCTTAAAGAACGGAAAGAAAGAGTGAATCGAAGAATAGAAAAAAATGTGCACTATACCATGGGCTCACTTAGTTTTTCTCATCGTCATACATGATTAAAAAAGTATTAGGACTTCATAATCATGTAAGGAAAATTAGCAGTCAATTCGATTTTTTTCAAAATGATTCGTTCCATTTAGTGAACCACTTCAACAATACTGTGAGACAGATATAACTCGATGAGCTCGATCGAACGATGAACTCAGGTTTTTGATGACAATTGCTAGAAAAATATGAAACCTAAAAGTACGCTTTTTATTATAAATCATCATCGTCTTTTAAATATTTTAGTCGATTACTTTACAATAAGAATGAAATTGTTTGCTTAAAGAAATAGAGACGAATTGGCTACAAATGGCACAAAAGTTTGTACTTATACTTTTACTGTGAGCAAAGTATGTTATTTCGTGATATGCTTCAAGTTTATCCTCTATTACAAGTTATTCAAACGTTTAATGTAGTAAAATATTTCACATAAAACAGAATTTTTTCATTTGTTGTAAATTTATTTCGTCAGTATTTTTTGATTCTTTAACAATAAACGTTAAAGGATGAACATATGATGTTTGAGAATATTCTCTTGAAGATAGTATTTAACCCTTTCGAGGCGATGTCGCCCACCGGTGGATGACGCTATAGTTTAACGAGAAACTGTATAGAAAAGCACTTTCTTTTGCTTTTTTCAGCAAGAGGGGGGGGGGGTGAAAAAGATCATAAAAGAAAAAATAGTTGTGAACAAATAAATATGTTAATTAATGTTTTTTAGAATTCGCATGAAAGCAAAGCGCGCCTTATGAAAATTGTTTACGGCAGTAAATCCCGCGGCAGTAAATCCTGTACACGGAATTGGTTATGTTATTTTACGAACATTTCATTAATTCATCGTCTTCAGATGCTTATTTGAAACTAATCGAAAATGATTTAATAAAGATTACAACAACTGAAATAAATCCAAATGAAATGCAGAATATTTTAAAACAAATATTGGATATGTTTAAACAACATACTTTAGTATTTTATTCAACAGTTAAACGTCTTGAAAAAGTTGAACAAACAACAAATGTATTAGTTAAACAAATGGAAGATATTAATTCCAAACAAAATATTCCTGATGGTCTTCTCATAGCTAATGAAATTGCAAGTCTTTATATTGAATATTATGTCAAACCTGTTTTTCATCGTCGATTAGGACATTCATCATGGGATACATTCTGTGATAAACTTGCTGCAATTGAAGCAGAAATTGATGATAGAGCTTTAGATGCTTCAGAAAAAGGTTTAACTATTCCATATGAAACTTTATATAAAGATTTAATTAATTATTTACAACCTTTACAAAAAGATATTGGTTTAAGTTTAACTAATATTCGATTTTTAAAACGTGATCGAAATGATTTAGTTCATTATCGATATAAACGTGATGATCAACAAAAAGTTCTACTTGAAAAAGCAAAAAAATTCAATTTTCCTGATACGTTCGAATTTAAAGATCTCGTTAAACGGATGATTGATGATCTCGAAAGAAAAAAAGATCATTTTCATCACTTCAGATAAAAAACTTTTATTTCCCATTTTTTTTTTATTGTTCTTTTTCATTATTGACCTAAATAAAAACAACGAAGATTTCATTTTTTTCATTAAATAATTTATTTCACTATTAACTGAAAATAATTACACGTTTTGTATAATAAATAAAAACAATAACAAGATAATATAATGAACGATACAAAAGTCTTTGGAAAAATGTCAAACTCTGTTAGATAATATTGCTAACTTCTGAACCAATACAATTTTTTCTTGTTAAAAAGAGTAATGTCTGTCTGTCTGTCTGAACTACAAATTTTGTAGGAGATATATTTTTTCAAAACGGATCTGAACCAAAAGAAAAGCTAAAAACCAAACATGTCTAAAAAAGTTCATGCAACTTCACGATCGAGCAATATCATTTTCTATTTTCTGTCAGTTTCTTTATATTAGAAGAAGAATGAGAAAGCACGTTCAATAATGATTCTTTTAGTACAAAGAGTGCTCTTTCTAATGATGCATTAGAAGTTCAATTCATTTCTGGATTTTATATCAATAAACAGCTTCTTCTCGAAGAGACTGAGTAATTTGGTCGTTCCCACTAGTTGACCGTTTTAGAACGATAAAAAATATTTTTTTGAATATATTTTCCTGCTAAATCCCCCCGCAGAATAGGAGGCCATGGCCTTGTATTGTTTTTTGCCCGAAATCAGGTTTTGGAGAACCTCCTACAGAGTTAAACTTTTTAATAATTAATTAATCAGTAATTATTAATTAATTAATTACTAACCTCTACATGGTGTTTTAACAAAGCCGCCGAAATTTTGCTGGAATATGGGTTTTCTGAAGGGGCTGGCTTTCTAATATGGGGTGGCCTTCTATTCTGTGAGGGGGGGGGGGGGTTTACAATTCTTTAATTAGATATGTTTCGACTGAATAACTCAAAAACAATTCATTTCATGGATGATTCTTGGAGATATGGCTGATTTCTTTGTAAACTGACGATCCTTGCAAAAGGCTCACATTTGCAAAAATCTCGTGTTTCAAATTTTTTCGATTAAAGAATCAAGAATAGATTAAAAAAATCTCAAAGTTTATATCGATAGAGCTTTTAATGCGCTACATTTTGGTGTATTTTTTTCTTCAAACCAGACGTATGTAGTTCAAAATAATTACAGAATTCATGATGCAAATGAATTACAAAATAAATCAGAATTTGTAGATTTCATACAAAAGATTTATCGAACCTATAAGGATCTATAAAGCTCTGTAAGAGACTATAAAAATATATAAAGACTTACAAGAGTTTGTAAAGATCTGATAGATCTACCATTGGTAACCAGAATTTGCCATAGCTATGTTATGTTTTCGCCTTCACCTTCAGTCGAGAGAGATCCCTGCGTGTCTGTGTTGTTGTCTGACCGAGAATAGTTACCTATGACAGATCCTGGTAACCTGTGGATACAGAAACTGAATTATTATGGAATTCGTTTTTTTTTGAATTCCTTTGTAATCCATTTGCGTCATCTATTGTAATTAAGAAATACAGATTTTTCAAGTTGCAAAATCGTTGCAAGAAATTTTTAGATATGTTTGGTTTTTGGCTTTTCTTTCGGCTCACGAGGGAACGTTCGGAACTGATAAATCCCTTTTTGAATTTTAGTAAGACCGGCTTGTAGAGCTTGATGAGTTATTAACTAATATCACTGTCATTTGCCCCAAGACCTCGTTTAAGAGTGCATATCTTATGATCGAAGTTTCTAATAGTCTCTCATAGGAATGAGGTCAAGGGTGAATTATTGGCCAATGCTCTGTGACTATTGGCCAATAATTGACCTTTGATCTTTGACCCTTGGTGTTTGACCTTATCCCTATGAGAGACTATAAGAAACTTCGATCATAAGGGTGTGGGTGTGGGTGTGGGTGTGGGTGGGTGTGGGTGTGGGTGTGGGTGTGGGTGTGGGTGTGGGTGTGGGTGTGGGTGTGGATGTGGGTGTGGGTGTGGGTGTGGGTGTGGATGTGGATGTGAATCTTCTTTCACAAGATACCCATACCCACACCCACACCCGCATCTTGTGGTATATTTTGTTTTTTTAATAGTGTATTATGTGGTGAAAAAATGAAATGCAAAAAGGCAGTATTTTTGTCCGCGGGGGACTAGTCTAGGCTAGAATGGATTGTGCATGAAAAACCTTCCTAAATCTTGAATATACTAACGAGTTGTAGCCAATTTATTGCTCGAAAGTATACTGTACGCGGACAAGTTTTTGATGATCAGGATACAAGCTAACATGCTAAGACATTTTTTAAGTTTTAAAATAACCTTCGCATCAGATCCTCCGAGTCTGATTTTGAAGTTTTCATTGGTTTTTTTTAAAGTCTTTTCTAAAAAAATTCTCAAATTCATGGACATAGAAAAAAATCAATAAAAATGAAATATGGAATTTTTTTATTGCATCGATAAAGAAATTCAAAAATCGAGCTCTGTGAGGATCTAGCCGTACCTGTCTACTATAAAAAAAAAATGATCACTTCCTTGTCGAGTTGTTATGAAGAAAATCCTGTCCGCGTAAACTGCATACACGAAAAAACTGATTTTGAGAAAAACGAAAAATAAGTATTAGAAATCGTTTTTTCTGAAAATTACCTGATTTATATATCAATATTCAAGATAGCCTATAAATATGTTATCTTAATATTAAGTATTCATAGTCTCTTAGTGATTAGTATAAAGCAAAACTTCACAAAATGCTCATGGGAAAAGAAAGCAGTCTAAAAATCGAAAAATCTCATAGTAGAAGTCAAGTTTTAGATGGTGGTAAGTTCATAAAAATCAATTCATTTTGCGATAAACCACAGGTATTCGGAAAGAGGAGACTTCGATGCATCTTCCTATGATAAAACTTCAATCTCGATTCTGCTCCGAAAAATTTGATTTTCTGAGAGACAGGGAGAGATTCTTAATATAAATTTCTACTGAAAGAAATATGCTCGTCATATACATTTATACTATTTTCATTTAAGATAACTAAAATTCTAACATACTCTTCAGATATGTTCAAATACAATATATTTCTGTGTTTCTTTCTTCGTGTCTGTCATTCAATTCATAGACTATCAACATGATGAATATGTCATTCAATTCCAAGAATACGTATTTTTTTATCGAGCACTTTCTGAAATCCACGTTACAGTAAAACTGCTAAAACAACATTTTTTAAACATATAATGATTATCTAAAACAAAAAGAATCTTAAATAGTAATAAACTTTGATGATGAAATAAGTGAATTTTTTATCAGAGAATAACAACCATTTATCAATAATAATAATAAATAAGAACGATAGAAGGTCATAGACTAAGTTAATTAATAAATAACATATACTAATCATCTTGTTATTTTTGAAAAAAAAGAAATCATTTGATTTTATTTTTCGAGTATGTATATCTTTTTGAACTATGTATTTATTGAGTATAGACATTCACTTATGGTCGATGTCGGTACTTTTTCATAGAATTCACTCTCTTGTAATAAAAAGTCGGAGAAAGATCACAGTCTGATCATCATGAATGAACTTTCAGTCGATTTGTCTCTGAGAGGAAGTTTAAGATCTGGGTGGAAAGAGAATGAAGCTATATCGATACTTTAGACTAGAATGTTGATTCAAAATAGTTTTCGTATATAGTGAATAAGAGAAATGCGTAGAATGGTGGGATTTGAATACCTTGTATAAACGTCCAAGTATTGCATGTTTTTGTTGGTGTTTGCTATCAGAAAATATCGTCTATATGATTATTGCAAATATCCATATTTGGTAATGAGAAAGATACTACCTATGATCGACATATTAGCTTTTCATTCTTTCAAAAATCAAAGTATAGGATCTTCGATCAATAATAGAAGAACAAAAGAAATATCATACTCCTCGGCAAATGTCATTGAATCAAACATTGAGTCTATGCAAAATATCAAACGATTATAAGAGAGATAGAGTGATGCGGCTCTACAATCGACAACATATAAATATATCATAAAGATCATAAATAATTTGTCAATTTCAAAAAAGCCATTGTATTATTACAGAAGCGATTTTCAGCGACAATCGTATACTATAGAAGTAAAAACATTTGAAACATTTAATAGTATATTTGTAGATTGTCAAAGTAGAAACAATGCTAATAATTGAAGAGTATTTTGTACTTATTTTGCAATTGATAATAATATGTTGTTCAAGTGAAATAAAACCAAAATTAAATCTGGATGAATTTTTCAATAATACTGATTATCAACAATTGAGTTTTTCTCCAACTGGTGAGCATTTACTTATTCAAAATCGACGTCCATCTTGGAATTCGAGTTCGTTTGATATCAGTTTATGGCTATTTTATGTAAAAGAGAAATCCACAAAGTTAATAGCACACAATCTTCCTTCATTTTCAAAACCAGTATGGTCGCCAACTGGAAAACAAATTGCATTTTTGCTCAATGAAGATTCGACAATTACTTATGTTGGAACACCGGAGTATCATTTATATTTGTATTCAATTATTTGGGTGTGGGTGTGGGTGTGGTGTGGTGTGGGTGTGGGTGTGGTGTGGGTGGGTGTGGGTGTGGGTGTGGATGTGGATGTGGGTGGGTGTGAGTGTGTGGGTGTTGGTGGGGGTGGGTGTGGTTATCTTGTCATCACCTACACCCACACCCACACTCACACCCACACCCACACTCACACCCACATCCACACTCGGTCATTATGTTTGCAAGAGAAAAAATATCATTCTTTTTCAAAAGTGTGGAAGCAAAAGTCGATTCGGATCGATTCAATTTCGTACTTTGACCTACATCCTAATTCTAAAACGTACCTGATGAATACTAACTGAGCAATAGTCGAAACGCCTGTTTTAATTTACCTGAAACTCTTGTTATTTGTGTACGTTCACTCTTACCCTCGCGACATCTTTACTTGTAAAGAGATATTGTTCTTATTAATTATCTAACGTCTTTTTCCTCACTTACGAATAGAATATGTTTTTTTCTTGAACTTATGAGTTATGGCAAACAAGTTGCCGCAAGATCTTGACAACATGTTGCTCCTCTATTATTAAAAATTTTGTGCCCTGAAAGCAATAACACGTGACGTCTCTCCCTTTAAATAAACTTCATCATTGAAAAAAAATTCAACGAGAGTATAAATTGTCGAAGAAAAAGAAAATAATGGTTTCTTGCTGTTTTCATTTGAAAGACGCTACAATGTGTTACTATTTATGACTAATAAAATTTCTCTCTGACTTTTACAATAACACATACTGCATTCTCCTAAAAGCTTCAACGATTCTTTTTCTCTTTGTAGGGTGAAATTGAGTTGCCGATTGAAAAAAGCATCATGGCACGACCAAAGATATCTACGGAAGATATTTCTCGATATAATCATTTATTTAATCGAGAACGAGTTAATCTTGAATCACATCAGTTAATTTGGCTAGATGCAAATTGGAAAAAAGATAAAACTACATTAGAAAATTTACGAAAAATTGTCGATTATACAAAAATCTTTGATAATATGGATGAATGTTTGGTTTATATAAACCAAACTGATACTACAGTTACATTTTTAATTTGTTCTGGACAAATGGGCGAGACCTTTACGTCAAAAGTTCATCATTTTGATAGTATCTATGCAATTTATATTTATTGTCAGAATAAAGAGTACCATCAAAAGTGGGCTTCAAAGTATTCAAAAGTAAGCATTATCTTACGTTTTAATTATACTTCTATATATATTTTAAATAGGTAAGACAAGTTCACAATTCACTTGAACATTTAATAAACGATCTTACAGCTACTGTTCAAGAGTATAAACAACATGAAAACACAAATCTATTAGGTAAAGGACAAAAAGAGGCAACAACATCTGCAGCAGCGTTTTCTTGGTGGGAAGATTTTATTGATATGCTTATCCTTTTACCATATCCAGAAGATTATCAATCTAAATTAATTAATTTATTAAAAAATTATTATAATGATAAAGAAGAAGAAATGAAAATTCTCGATGAATTTTCATCTACTTATAAATCTTCAAATGCCGTTCATTGGTATACACGAGAAACGTTTCTTTATCGTATAATGAACAAAGCTCTTCGACAACAAAATACCGAACTTATATTTTTATTCGGTTTTTTTATACAAGATTTATCTCGACAAGTCAAATTTGAATATGAAAATTTTAAATTATTAAATTTAAAAAAACCTATTATAAGTTTGTACCGTGGGCAATTAATGTCAAAAGATGAAATTGAAGAACTTGCTTCTGGTAGTGGTGGTTGTCTTGGAAACAATTGTTTTTTTTCAACATCTCTTCAGCGTTCTTTAGCATTATCATTTCTTCCTCAACCATCTAAAATTAAAGGAAATTTACAACGTGTTCTGTTTGAAATTCAAGTTGATATTCGTCAACCATGTCGTTATTTTGCCGATATAACTCATGTAAGTTATTTTCCACATGAATCAGAAATTTTATTTACAATTGGAACAGAATTTAGAAAAGAAGAAGTCAAGTACAATCAAAATGAAGATCTTTGGATTATTCCATTAGAATTAAACAATGATTATGATCAACATGATTCGAGAGAATTTGAAATAAGTTCTGAAAAATTTACTATAAGTAATTGTTTGAATATATGCACCGATTGGAACTTTTGTGTTATGTCATCAACTGATAGTATAAATTTAATATTTGATGGATTGATAGCATTATATCCAATGTATAAAGAATGGATCTTAGCTGCTCAATATCATTCATTAGCAAATCGCAATGTAGATTGGGAAGAACGTAATGTTTCTTTGTTATTATCATACTATGACAAAGCATTAAAATGTTGGAAGAAACATAAGAATGATTCAGATTTAAATATCGATACTAGTATTGGAAAAGTATACAAAGATATGGCTTATTATTATGCATGTTATATCAGAGATTCTGAAATGTGTTTAAAACATTATGATATGGCAATTAATCATTTAAAATTAGCTTTAGAGAAGGAAGTTTCCAAAAAAAGTATTTATGCACAAACGAATATTTATCAAATATTAAGTGATACTTATTATGCAAAAATGGAGCGTATAATTGACTCTGAATCTAAAAATCATAATAATAATCAGTCACATATTACAATGACAATTAAATATGCAGAATTATGTATACAACATATGCTAAAATGTTATGAATTTCCAGATTTTAAGACTGCTAAACGATTCAAAGAACTAGCAAAAGTTTACGAATCAATTAAGGACTATGATAATGCATTAATTAATTATGATAAAGCTCTACGCATTTATTTTGAATTAGTTAAAGAAATTTCGAGTTATTTTTATAATACAGTTGATAAAATACTTGAACTTTGTGCTGTACATAAAAATGATCACCATACTAAACTGGAATATCAATTATTAAAGCATGAATATACATTGAAAATTGCAGCACCATCATCAACTGATAATGATTATGCTGCTGCAGAAAAAAAACGAGAAATAGCATCTAGTTACTATCGTCTTGGTGATTTTTATCAATCGATTTATAAATATGACGAAGCATTAGATAGTTACCAAAGGGCATTGATGATTCATGAACAAGAATTAGAATCCCATCATTATCAATTTTCTGGTTTAATTGAGAATATAACAAATATCTATTTTGAACATAAACACGATCATCAATTAGCACTTAAATATCAATTAATGTATCATGAATACATAGTGAAACAGTCAACACCCGATACTAGAAACGATGATCAACGACAAATTGATCGTAAGAAATATCAATGTGGTGTTAGTCATATCAGTTTATCTGATTTTTACGTTAAAATACATCAATATGATTTGGCCAAGGAACATTTATTAAAAGCATTGGATTTGTATGAAGAAGTTCAAACTATGACTCTTGAACATAAAATTGAAATCATTAATGAAAAGTTAAAAACCGTACAAAAGTTTTTAACATAAACTATGTGCCAAAGAAGACAAGTATCTTTTCATCCGTTGACATTACTGTTATCTATTTTTATGCTTTCAGAAAAACTCTATTTTGTAGAGATTTTTTCTGTGTTTTTGTTTTATTTTTTTAAAAGAATTCTTTACTCCTATACTCTAAAATGAACTATGAATCTGTAGACATCATTTTATCAAAGAATGCACATAGAAACATTAATTATGAATGCGTGAACAATAAACATTGTTTCTGATACGAGAGAAGCTATTTGTGACTCCCTCGACTTTTTTCACATGGAAAGAAGTCCTAACAACTATGGAGAAGATCTTTGGCAAAGACTCTCTGAAGAAAATTTCTCAAAAACAAACAATAAATTGACAGATAAGTTTTGTTGAGAAGTGTTTTTGATCATCATCAAAGGTAAAATATGTGGGTGTGGGTGTAAATGCACTGCTTTATAGCACCCCACACCCACGCCCACACCTTTACAATCATAGAAATTGAATTATTAGAAGATTATATTCAACATAATAAAATTTCTTATGTTCTTACTAAAGAAGATAAAAGAAGATTATTATTATAATAATTTTTGTTGCGTATAAGATCGGTTATTCTAGCTGAACTTCTAGGTAGTATTGATTTTTAAATATTAACTTATCTTGAATAATAACAATAATTAAAAAAGATAGTAAGTTTTTCAATAGAAATGATTATATAGAAGAGAAAAAATATTGTTCTTTTTTGTTACACACGTGTTCGTCAAGCAACTGCTTCGAATTTTGCTACATATATACATTATAGTAATGTTAAATACCAAGTAGTTTTTTGTTTTTGAATGATTCTATCGGACAGTCCAATACATTGGCCTAGCAAATTATAGTCTGAAATCTTTATCAGATAACGACGGGTTCTTCAAGCAATATAAACATAAGTATAATGTTTCCTTTTTGCATCATAAAATTTTCAAAGGAAGTCCGTCATTTTCCCCCCGCTAGAATTTTTTTCTTTTAAATATATTTTTGTTGGGGTCCACTTGAGGATACTGAAGCACTAAACCGAATCATGGACATTTCTAGTTTTGACCAAAAAATTAATGCTTAAGAGTTAAGATCATTATATTCAATTATTGACCCTGATGCTATATAGCATTTTTGTATTTCATTAACAGTTGCATCAGCAACTATCAAAATTGCACTGCATATAGAGCTAATAGTCCTCTATAAAATAAAAAGAAAATCATATTAGACAGTTACTTTATTAATGAGTACAGCCTATCACAAAGGAGTACTGAGTTACGCACTGATTTTGTAGTGCATTAGAAAGATTATTTTGCTTATAACTTGATAAAGATTCATAATTGAAAGGTGAATTTTTCTATCATTAGTGAAGCTTCACACGAGCTATCAAACCAATAAAAAGAATTAAAAAAAGATCCCGATTCTTAAAATGATGATTCAAACTTTAAGAGAAAGACAGTAGAGCAATACGATATAATCAAAAAAAACAGCTATTATTTCAAGATTTTGACATCAAAAGAGGGGTTTCTGTTCAAAATAATGATCATTTTCGGAATCAGCATATCAAAATATACCAGAAACTCTATATTTGGTCGAAAATTTTTTCTCATCAAAATTTTCACCCTATTTCCCCTCATGCTTTTATGGATCAACTTTTAGGCTGTGGGTGTGGGTGTTCTTTCGAGAAACATTTATACCCACACCCACACCCACACCCACCCCACACTCACACCCACACCCACTCACACCCACACCCACACCCACCCAGACCCACACCCACGTTACATCTAACTAGCTTATTAAAATTGAAAAAAAAATTTTTTCCCGAAAATGGTAGAAACCCGGCGGATTCACTCCGATCCCTTATTCATAGTAGATCATGAGCATTATACAAGCACTATAACTGGTAAAAAAAATCATATTTTTCTGAGATATTATAGAAGCTGCATATACAAAACAAAAATTGGGGAAGCACCAGGTCGACTGGCCCCGCCAATATATTAATTAAATCCTTAGTCATTTCCCACGATCATATAGTAGTTCACATCCATGGAATAAAGTGAAGGAAGCGGCTGATTTTTGCCCTATATAAAGTCAAATAAATGAAAAATATAGTTTACCTACTAAGTGAAAATGTATGACAACATATGAAAGATAATATATGCATGAAATAATAAAGATAACATGACATAGATAAATAAATGCTATCTCTAACTTTTTTCTGAAAAAATACATCTAGCACCCTCTACAAACTCTTTTTATGATTACTCCTAATATGAACAAAGGTATAGAAGAATAAAACTGACAAGCAAGCAACTTGCTGTTATAAAAGTGCAGAAAGTTATGTACATAAACTTCACGAATGAAGTAGCATATAACGAAGGAGAAGATTTATTTTTTCAGTCTGTATATAAAATATGTTGATCTTTTCTATCTGTCAAACTAATTCTTCTTGTATCTATGAATTTATCTTACGTTTTAACAATGATTTTTTTAGTATTATTAAAAATATTTCGACATGAACTTGGTTTCTTCAACCAGTAATCTGTCAATGTCTACAAGTAATTGTTTTAACTTTATTTATCATTATTAAAAGTCTTCTTATTATAGAACCGACTGGTCTCCTAACATTACCTGACGAACTACTTCAGATTATTTTTGAATTCCTTTCTTCATTTGATCTTATTCAGTCAGTCTTTTCTCTCAATCATTCACGTTTAAATGCACTTATATATCCTTCTATCTCTCGAGTCGATCTAACAACATTTCCTATTCGACATTTAAAAGATATTTTTAATTTGATATCGATCGCTCGAATAAATAGTGATTTAACCAGCATAATTCGTTTCGCTCCATCACTGTATTCACTTTTCATCATACAGACGAATCCAAGCGACTTAAACTTTCTCAGCTTTCTACCCTATTTTGCACGTCATCTGAAATCGCTTTCAATTCAACTTCATACACAATGCCAAATCAACAAACCACTATTGCCGGCACTCATTTTTCAGTCGAGCTGTTCACTCGAAACTCTCACGATCATTCCCGATAAAATGTGGATATCCATCGGAGAAAACCATATTGTATCATGTTCGTCGTTGAAACGTATTACACTTTCTATCGTAGGTTTGGGTCAATTATTCATTCTCTGTGAATGTTTATTATCTCTTGAATATCTTCGAATCTTATCTATTGAATACTGTAGAAACGATAGATTATACAACATTGATCGGTGTGTGTTGGGGAAAACCTTCTCAAAACATTTACATGAATTGTGGATCTCTGGCCACATTAATTACATTGACATCGAACTGTTCGTGCAACAATTCGCTTTATCTCTGCAGTATCTCACATTGAGATTATCCACTGGACGTGAGCCTATGACTGGACATCGTCTAGAAACAGGCTTGATTAATGTATGCACTAAATTAAAAAAGTTTCAGTTCTATTTTTACTTCAACCACGACGACAAACATATGTTCGCTGACATCGAATCATTCAAATATACTAATGACGTAAGTTTATATGAAACTATCAATCAGTTTCAAAGATTTTTATTCTATGACACATAAGACTCGATTCATAATTAAAACTACAAGGAATTGTCTTAAATTTTTGAGAGAAAAAAAATTCATTTTGCTTATGAAATTAATAATAGTTGAATACCGAAAATTTTTTAGCAATAAAGCCATATTTTTGTGACAAACATTTACAACAAAATCTTACAGTGATTCAATTTTTTGGTTGTTTTCAGAACTCATTTTAATACTGTAACCACAACTACCCGAGATTTAATCATTTATATCCTTTGATGGGTTGACTCTATACTTTGTGAAGAATTGAAACCATTATCTCGAAGTGCAGCTGTTTCTTTTCTGTAAAATTAGCAGAACCGAATTGTTGATGCATATAATTAATCTAAATGTTATTGATTTTTTTTTTAGAAAACTTTATCAAGCAACTATTGGTCATTACATCCTGTTGTTTGTTTTGATAACATTGTTGCATCGCTTCCATTTACTGAATGGTATTTTCGCAGCTTCGGCAACGCATTTCCCAATACAATTCATTTTAATATACCTAATCCACCACCGTTCAAGTGCATTCGTCAAATAGTACTTTGCGAGTATGATGGTCCATTATCACTTGCCTTATTTAAATTTGTTGAGCGATTGTTTACACGCATCGATCATCTCTACATCTCAAATGGATGTTGCTTAGAGAAATTTGATTGGACATTACTGCCACGTTTCCCTAAAATAACAACGATGACATTGGGTCTTTACTATAAAAGTTGTGATACGTTCCCTGATAGTCCGCTTAATGCTGCGTTGTTGCGTGCATTTTTCTCGATGGTCCCCAACTTGCGACGATTGCAGACATCGATGAACTTTCTTAAAGAACATGAGACAGTGTTACGTGCCGATCAGCAATTACAAGACGTCGCTAAACGCATTGAAGAAATACATATGATAAAATATGAAAATAAACAGATGGAAGAATTTGTAATTTCTTTTTTTCCTAATGCTAAACTTCATTTTGACTATTGACCTGACCAATTTTTCTAGATTTGTTTTTTTTTGTTTTATTTTCTGTTATATTACTATTGTTCACATAATTTCTAAGTCTCTATTTGAATATTGTATATAACTGTAACATGAAACGCTGAGACTAATGCAAATCTCAAATATCTTTAATTTAATAAAATATCTGCAAAAATCGATAATAGTTAACTTTATTCGATTATATCTTTATCATTGAAGACAATGGTATAGTATCGTTTTAGGCAATAGAATAATTCAAACACATTCAAAGATTAATTCTTTTGTTCAATCTTCGTTGAAGAGTAACTTTTGGGTCGAATCAATAGTGTCAACTGAATTAGATACATACATTTTGCTTCATTAAGCATGGTTTAACTATTGTGACCTGGAGAGCTGGAGGGAAAAAACTTTTGGAGTACCCTACGTATCCGATCCTCAAATGACTAATGATGT